TATATACCCCCCCCCTTCATGCCTGCAGGTCGTTGATGATGGGCAGCAGGTAGCTCAACGTCTTGCCGGAACCGGTCTGTGCGCGGACCAGGGCATCTCGCCCCGCCAGCAGCACAGGCAACACCGATTTCTGAATTGCGGTGGGAGTCGTGAAACCCAAGGTGCCTAGCTGCTGAACGAGCGAATCTGCCAGCCCGAGAGAAGCCCACTCCTCGCCGCCGCCGCCGCCGCCGCCGGCAGTGGCGGCGACGGCGGCGGCGTTAGCTCCATTCGCGTTGACGGCGGCGTGTACGAGACTTCCCGGGATGTAGTTGCCGCGGCCTGTAGCCTTGGGGCCGCCGCCGCCGCCGCCGTCAGGGCCGTTGAGCCGGCGGCGCTTGTATCCGCCGCCGCCATCATCAGCATCATCGTCGAATTCGACGACACCCTCTCGTTCCTGTCGGCGTCATTTGTGCAGAGAGGCGTTGTACGGGCTGTGTGAGTCGCAGGCTGTGTGGATGATCTCTTCTTTTGACGCCATCTGTACGACCATCTGTACGACCGTCAGACCTTTCTGTTTCATGCAGACCACCGAGGTGCTGTTGGTGGCAGCGGGGCATGGGGCTACCCCTCCCCCCACCCATGGCCACACATCATCACACCACCTCACAACGCCATCACCAACGCCATCATCATCATCATTGATAGCACCATTATTACCAGCTCCTTCGTCAACACTGAAGGACCTCTCCCATCATGTCGTAGATCCCGTAGGCGCTCAAACCCAGTCCAGGGAGTCACTCACCGCCGCCGGCGCCCTGGCCGCTTTTCCCCCTTCCCCCCTGGATTCCGCCGCTTTAAGCTCCTCCCTCTGTAGCTCAGCCTCCCGCTGGGCCACTAGCGACATAGCGGCACGCAGGTCGTCTTCGTGCTCGTCCTCCGGTTCCGGAGCCCGCATAAGCTCATCTGGGTCATCTGGGTCGGTGCCTCTGCCGCCGGCTGAAGGGAAGGAGAAATGAAAGAGGAAGAGGAAAGGGGAAGGAAGGAGGTCGTGCCGGACGGGAATGTAATGGCCAGGGTTGTCATGAGTGATGGAAAGCAAAGGTACTCTCTCGAGTGATCTAAGCAAATTAAGGTCACATGCGCTTTAACTGGGAGAGGCATCCTTATGAAGCTGGCCAGCCCGAGGGACGCTTCCCTCTGGATTGCAAGCAGCTGCAGCCCACCTGACCGCTTGAAGCGCTCCTTTCCGGGTTTTTGCTGGACACGTTCGGAGTGGCCTTTTGTGGCTTTGGATTGTTTTGGAGCCTGGCGTGGCTGCTTGGCTTGACTAGGTAACTTCAGGTCGCGGCCGATGGATTGCTGTTGGCGGATGTTGTTTGACTTGCCGCCGTTCTGCTGAGGATCTTGCGCCTTGCCTCCAGGACTGCGCCCTTGACGCTGGTTACCTGCGGCCGGCTTCTCGGCGGGCTTGGCGCTGTCGCCATGCCGTTTCGCGCCGCCGTCCTTTCCAGGACGGGCAGCTGCCGTTGTCTTGCTTGCACGTGGTTTAGCGGCTGTCACAGCTATATTCAGCTCTAACTCGTCATCCATAGTTTAATCGCTTGATACCCTTTCGTTAAGCTAGGGTTAGTTAACTGACCATGTTCATTTGCCGCTGGAGTCCAAACAAAGAATGACTTCAGTTTATTACTATAACAAGCATATCAATATTATGATGAATTGTACAAGGCTTCGCGACTTCGAACATAGCGGTCGTTAGATGGTATCTTTGCAAGGCGAAGTTAGGGCAAAGCAACGCCAGTCACCAGGTTTCAGCATACACAATAATATATGGCATAATGTTTTAGCATTTCTTGGACGTAACTGATTACTTTGCAGAGAAATACATGGCTTCCAAAAATGACCGCGACCCGACGGGTCATCCCCGCGGAGAGCCGGTGCTCTCAGGCAACACCTCCGTGGCGTCAGACATCCAAATAGATCCAACAAACCAAGACCTGGAGGCCCTGGCACCCCCATGGTGCGTCTTGCATCCGAATCATCATTCCGCACAACTTTCTGTCGCCGCGAAAACTCCATCACCTGCTTATTAAAAGGAGTCCATGCGCTCTGATGCGGCGAAGATTTTACATAACATCCTCACGCAAGCTATGTCATCCCTCAAAACTCATACCAGGATGGATTTTTGCGATCACTTTTCCGGTTTGCATCTTAACGACTTTTCAACGCAGGCAGCGCCACGTCAGCGACCTAGGGGGTTCTTTCCGCTTTCCAGTCATGGCTGCAACCGCAGCCACCTCAGGCCCGTCAGGCAGTCGCCAACAGCCCCAATCCACATCCCACTCCGCTATATCCGATGGAAACCCTATGGAGGAAAATGAAGGCGGCGCACAGGCAGTTGCAGCAGCAGCAGCAGGAGCAGCAGCGGCGGCGGCGGCAGTAGCCACGGCGGTGGTGTCGGAGGCTGAGGAAAGAGACACAGGGCCGCCGCGCACCTTAACAGCCCGCGGCGGCGGCGGCGGCGGCCTCACCTCATTTCAGGCGCCCGCCCAGAGCGTTGCTCCGGAACCAGCACTAGGACAGGGGAGTTCCAGTACGGCAGCCGGCCCAGCCGCCGCTTTGACGGGCGACCCGACTGGCGGCAGTTTAGCAGCTGGGTTGAGTACGGCACTAACTGACACCTGGGATGTGGATGTGGAGGTCTGTGGGACGATGATGATGATGATGCCGCCGCCGTCACCTGCATTCCAACCGCCGCCGCCGTCGCATGCCGTACACCGGCGCCACATCAGCTCCCATGGCGGCAGCGGGCGCGGCGTTCCGCCGTCACCTCCTTTCGGCGGGGTGGCGACCTCCCAACCACGATTGCCTGCGCCAGCTGTCGCCGCATGTACGACGAGACTTGTACGGATTCCGACGAGTGCAAACCCGCCACGACGCGCCACGACGGCTACAGGCACCTCACCTGTCGCTGACCTTATGTCCCCCAGCCGCGCGGGTGCTGATGGCCAACCACCGCAACTGCCGTTACAACCGCCGCTGCAACCGCCGCCCCAGCAGCAGCACGTCATCCCAGCTCGCTCGGGGCCCCTGCGACGCCGTACAGGTAACCAGGCAGGGCCGCTGCAACCGCCACCGTTACAGCAGCAGCAGCAGCAGCAGCAGCAGCAACAACAACAGCAAACGGTACGACAGAGCACGGGATGGCTGCAATGGCCCCGAAACCGTACGACAGGGTCCGCGCAGCAGGATTTGGAATTCACTTCTCACCGTCTTTCTCCGCCTAGGGTTTCATCACACACGCAGGGGGGAGCATCGCTATCTTTGCGACGATTCAGCAGTGGCGGCGGCGGTAGCAGAGGCGGAAGGTTCGCCACCGGCGATGCCGTACGGAGTTCATCGAGTTGCGGCGCGCTGTGGGAGGTGGACGAGACTCACCGGCACTCCTGGGGCTCGTACGACGGCGGCGGTGCCGGCGGCAGTGGATATGGCAACAGGTACGGCAATCCGTACGGCGCCGATGAGGGTGCGGAGGATGCTCAGCGGGGCTCATGGGGCTCCGACGATGCCGCTGGGACCGTGTACGGCAGCTATCGCTGTGGCGGCGGCGCCGCCGTGGCGAGGTCTGGCGGCGGTGCGCCGCCGCGGCCGCTGGTCTCAAGCGCCGCTGGCGGCCCCAGCCCCGCCCTTCCCACCCCGCCAGCCCCCCATGCCGCCGAGGTCCCCGCCGCCGGGCCCCTGGCTGGCTCTGTGGTGGCGAGGCAGCGATGGCGGCGGGCGGTGGCGGCGGTGGGGGAAGTACGGCGCCTGCACCGCAGCGCACAGACGCTGGCGGACAAACACTCGCTGCCAGCAGGTGCGTGCAGTTAATGGTTGGGGATGTTGGGTAAGAGTCGCTAACGTCAACCAACGTTGACTGAAGTTGGTGGTAAGCGTTAACTGATTATCAACCGTTCGGTCAAGGAGAGGGGCAGCAGCAGCTGTAGCATTGCCCGTCCCTGCCCCCACAGCCTCTCGCTCATATTATATACATTCATTATATTTATGTAACTACACACAGAGACACACTTGTCGTACAGGCAGGGCCTTATGGTTTGGTTTGTTGAGGTGATGCGCACACGTGTGTTGGCTTTCTGGATACGGACTGATGGACACACACACACGCACACGCAGCTGCAACACACATACCCTTTTGCCCCTCGTAATGGCTCCTTGCCTTATGTATCTGTCCGTCCGTCTGTCCGTCTGTCCGTCTGTCCGTCTGTCCGTCCGTCCGTCTGTCCGTCTGTCCGTCTGTCCGTCTGTCCGTCTGTCCGTCTGTCCGTCTGCCCGTCTGCCCGTCTGTCTGTCTGTCTGTCTGTCTGTCTGTCTGTCCGTCTGTCTGTCTGTCTGTCTGTCTGTCTGTCTGTCTGTCTGTCTGTCTGTCTGTCTGCATGTCCGTTGGCCTGTTATGATCCCCCCCCATGTCAACCAACCATTGCCTCACTCCGATAAATACCCCACTTGCGTGAGACCCTAGGGTCCTCTCCCCAAGCTCTTAGAAAACATTATTTCCACAACAACCATATCAACCAACACAACCACCACAACCACCACAACCACATCGTTTCCCGCCCTCCTCGGCAGCCTGGATCGGTGCTTTGGACGTCGTCTCTTTGCTCTTTGCCCAACCCCCTTCTCTCCCCCCCAACACCTTCTTTCCTTGGCAGCAGCAGCTTCACTCGGGTTCGTGGTTCGTCTTTCCCCCACTTCTCACGTCGCTGGGTCATGGATGTTTACCATGTTTACCACGACATCCGTGCAAAAAAACCAAACACAAAGAACACGCCCCCCCACCCCCCTTCTGTCAACCCCAACCCACAGACCGGTTATTTGCGGCCCTCACCCTCGCCCTCCAACGCCACAACTGGGCCCAGATCATGTCACCGACACACAACCCGCACCGCACACTGCTAAGACATTACGTGGATAAGAAGCTTGCGGGGCAGTGGGGCAGCTGGTGGGAGAGGTTGGAGGCGGGTGAGACACGGAGACACCCCTCTTCTGTGTCTGTCTGTGTGTCTGCCTGTGTGTCTGCCTGTGTCTCTGTCTGTCTGTGTGTCTGTCTGTGTGTGTATGGGGGTAGAGGCGACATGCCAGGGCGTCAGGTACGGTGAATGTTGCAAGGGAGGGGAAAGCGGGAGGGGGGGAGGGAGGGGAGAGAGTGTGTGTGTGTGTGTGTGTGGTGCGGGAAGGGCCCGGGGGGAAGGGCATCCGGGCGGCAGATCCCGCGGCCTCCGGTGGCCTCCGTCTGCCCCCCCCCCCCTCCAGTGCATCCGCCACTCACCCGGACGGGACGTCGCAGGGCTGGGTCGCGTGGCCGCCCGTATCGGTGTGTATTGGTGTATTGCTGACGGCGTTGGAGCCCCGGCGGAGTAGGCGGTAGGCCCGGGGGGCGGTAAGCAGCAGCGAGGAGGTCGGTTCCCTCTGGGGGCCCTTTTTGAGCTCGAAGAGGACCATTCCTCCTGAAATTTCCGCGGCTTGACCTCAGTCCCTTTTCTCGTATTGTTGCTGGTCCTCCATGTTGCCGTACGTATGTCGTTACAGGGTGGTATAGCTTCTCCAGCGGCCCCCTTTCCCTTGGAGGCAGTTCCCTGCTCTCCCCTGCGAGAGGGGCACCCTATAACCCATTCACCCCGTCCGACTTCAGAATGTATTCGCTGGCTTCAGCAACTCACCACCAGCATCCAACCAAATCTAGCGGATTAACGGCACCTCAACTTAGTTCCTGGTCAGCTCGCAAGTTGATGTTATCACGTCCTACACCGTCCATAAGGTGGGGGGCCACCTCCCATTTCAACACTTCTCAAATACCCGAGAAGTCGGCAGGCGGATTTGAACCCAGGCACCCCGGGAGCAGATGTCAGGCCTTAACCTCTGCCAGCCGCCTGCGTACGTATGTATTCATGTGTGCATGTGCGGTATGTTGTGTTTTCATCGATGCCCCTTCTCAATGCCCCCTTGCTCCCCCTTGCCTCCTCCCTCCCTCCTCCCCCCCCCCCTTCCGAAGAGTTCATTATCACGGGAACCATCGTGTTTGACTGGTAAGTCGGCCAGCCTGTCAGTCAGTCTGTGAAGGCATAAGTAATAAATAAGTAATAAATAAGTAATAATATATAATATATAAAATAAAATAATAAAAATAAATAAAAATAAAAAATAGGAGCAGCGCGGCTCTGTCCGCCGGTGAAACGTCCCCTTTTTATGCCAGGAGACAACGCAATTTAGAATTAATACGCCTGCCTGCATGCGGGCCCACTTTTGTATATATGTGTGTGTGTGTCTCGGCGTGTGTGCGTGTGTCTGTTTTTATATGTGTGTATTTTCCCCGGGGGGCCGCAGGTGTACCCCCGCACGGCTTGGGGAGCACTGGCCGCTGTTCACGGGGACCTTCCTGCTGACGGCGGGGCTGCTGTTCGCCTTCATGGCGGGCCAGTTTCCGTACTTTGCTGCGCTGGAGGCGGCGGCGGCGGCGGGGGGGGCCTGCAGCGAGCAGCTGGCGGCGGCTGCGGGTGCGGGTGCGGCCAAGGACGTGGCGGACAAATGGCCGGCGGGCACGGGGAAGAGGTGGGAGACGGGAGATCCGTACGACGTTAAAACCCATGAAAACCCTAAAAAGCCCTCCACCATGGGGTGGGTTTAACCTTTTTCCTGTTTCCTTTTTTTCCTGTCCCGCGGTGTTGCAGCTGGTCGGCGTGCTTCCTGACAGCCCACAGCGGTCCTAGGTTCCTGGGGGACGTGGTGCTGCAGGCCCCCGGCAGCGAGCCCGCCACCACCTTCAGCGACGGATTCCTCCGGGCCTGGGGCGGGCTGTATGCCCCGGATGTGCAGCGGGGGCAGGTGTACCGGTGAGTGTGTGGATTTCTTACCTGGCCTGAACGCTGGATGAGGGGGGGGGTGAGGGGGAGAAGGGGAGAAGGGCGCAGGGGGAAGCGGGTTGCAGCAGGGGCGTGGTAGTAGGAGGGGTTGCATCGAGGGAGGGGGGGGGCAAGTTAGTTTCTTTTTTTCGCGTAAAAGATTATATGGCACCAAAAGGTCTTCACTCCCTTACAGAGTAACACCCCGGGATGCAACCCCTTGGGAAAATGGATCTTCTGGTGCGCGGACGAGTGGGGGGGGGACCCAGAGGGGAGGGTGGGAAGGATGGAAAGGGGGAATGAATTCGTGTTGCTATCTGTCTATCTGTTTGTCTGTATGTATGTTCCCCTGTCTACGCTGTGCGTGTTTTCTCTTTACATGGATGACACCACACCGGCAGGTGGCTAACCGGCCCGCTGCTGCACATCACCTTCCGACATGCCGCCGCCAACCTGGCATTGACGGCGGCGCTGGGCTGGCAAATGGAGGCGAAGTACGGCACCGTACGGGTGATGACCGTTTGGTTGGCGGCGGTTGTGGGGGGGGAGTTGTTGAGTGTTGCTGTGGAGGACCCTTGTCGTCAGGTGGGGCTGGGTGTGTGTGTGTGTGTGGGGGGGTGAGGATGATGGGGGGTTGGGGGGTTAGGGATCCTGTTGTACAATGTCGTACTCTTGATTGGTACGACGCTTGATACGCGTGTCTACCGGGCGGGGGGGAAGGTGTGTGGGTATGTGGGTATGTGTGTGTGTGTGTGTGCGCGTCCCGAAGGAGGGGATGGGGGAGGCGGGAACATCACCTATCATGGAGATCGTGTGTTTAGCTTCCCTTTGGGTTCATCATTTTCAAGTGTTTTTTTCATCATATGGGTTATATGTCCTGGGGGACGTGACCTGTGTGATAACGCTCCCTCTCTTCCCCCTCCTTATTTTCGCATACACATTATCGCACACATATTTCCCCCTTCCCCTTCTTTCTCCCCCTCCCCTTTTCCGGCCTTATCTTCCGCTTTCACATCAGTTCTTTAGGGCTTCTTATTCCCTTTAGGGGGGTTCCCCAGCCTGCCAGCCTGCCAGCCTGCCAAACTCCTTTCAGCGGCACCGCATGTGTCCTTTCCATCATCACTCGCTGCTCACAACTTTACCACCTCTCTGCCTCCTCGCGTGTGCCCTCCCTGCCCGCTGCTTCTGCTGCCTGGCCGCCAGGTGAGTCCGAGGAGGTTCGAGTGCTTTGTCGGTGAATCGCGTTGCGTCGGTCGGTTATAGCCGGGATGGTTGGGTCGGTCGGGTCGGTCCGAGGGGTGTGTTTGGGGGGTTGGGAGGAGCACTTGCATGCCACCGGCAGCTTTTCATTACCAGCTTATCAGCCAGTTTTGTCCAAACCTCATCAATGCCGCCGCCAGGCCGGCGGCAAAACTTTATTCCAGCTCACGTCATCCCTTTCCCTTCCCACCGGAGTTTTATTATTTTTTCGCCGCCTTTTTACACGCCTTACATTTAGGGTGTATTCCCAGTGCGGATTAAGGCCAGGGATTAGTAACCCTCTGTCCTCCATCAATACTTGCTCAAACGGCTAAGCTGTTGGCAAACTTACCTCGCCTTTCCAACCTCTTTGGTTCCCTTATGGAACAAAACTATGTGGTAAGCTCGTACCAAGGACTTCCGTGCCCTAATCCCCGGGGCCTTCATCCGCCCCGGGATGCCCTTACCTACTTTTCTACGGCTTTTGACATTACTGCGCTTTTTCCGCTCTTATTTTAGCCTTGGCGACTATAGGTAGGTAGTTTTCCGCTGTCGTCATCACTCTACATCATCCCGAGGACGGCTCCTTCACAACCGCCGACTGGTCAGTTCTGCTATAGGACGGTAGCACATCCGCCGCAGCACTCTTTCCCCACTTGGCAGCAGCTTCACACTCGTTCGTGTGGTTCGTCTTTCCTCCTCCCCCCTCTTCCCCTCCCCACTCCCCTCCCCTCCCCCTTCCCCCCTCTTTCCCCCTCTTCCCCCGGGATATGTCCCCCCTCTGCACCGCCCCACACGCCCCAAGCTGGTGGGCTGCAGTGGCGGCGCGTTCGGGCTGCTGGGTTTGTTCTGCGCGGACACTTTGCTCCATTTCTCCTCCCTCCGCCGGCCAATACTCCGATGCGCCACCATCGCTGTGCTGTTGGGCTTCCTAGTCTACACGCTGGCCGTACAGCAAGTGAGGCACGGAGACACATACGTACATACGTACATACATACATACACATGCAGCAACAGCAACAGCAACAGCAGCAGCAGCAGCTCAAAAAGGAAAGTTAAAGCACTCACGTCTTGCACTCACGTCTTGCACTCACGATCACGAGTCACGACTGGTAGCGACATGCTAACGTTAGCCCGAGATGATCGCTCAGGGTTGGTAGCCGCTGATGGTTCCTCTTTCTGCGAAATAAAAATTGCTGCTATTACGATTTTGCACATGGCTTTGCTTCACAACAATACTTCCCCCTCCTCCTCCCTCCCTCCCTCCCTCCCTTCCTTGACACATACACACACACAAAACATAAAATGTGTTCATAATTTGTCAAATAAACTCTCACATGCTTTTAAAAAATGTTTTTTAAAACACACACACACACACATACGCACGTACATACTCACATACATACAGGGCAACATGTCCTCCATGGCTCATGTTGGCGGCCTGCTATGCGGGCTGCTGCCAGCCCTGATGGTGCTGCCGCGTCTGGGGTCAGAACATTGGGAGGCGGCCTGGCCAGCCCTGGGGCTTCTGGCGGTGGTCGTGTGTTTTGCCGTACTGCCAGCCTGGGTCTACACACGGCGACTACCAGCAGCTGTCGTACAGTGCCTCCAACAAGCATCGCGGCCGGCACCGGCGTTAACACGGTAGTTAGTTCCGTTGTTCCGGTTAGGTTCGCTGATTCCGTGATGTAATGTGAGAGGGCGGCGTTAGGTACCGCGAAACTATGTTTGTACGGAAAATGTACGGAGCAATGTTGATGTGGGGCGTGGAGCGTAGTACGGCGACGGGCGACGCCAGCGACGGTTGGCAGTGGAAGAGGTTCCAGAGCGTGCTTGTGTGTATCTACGTGTGTATCTACTATATTACGTTACATATCGATCCAGGGGCCTGACACTGGCCAGGGGGGGCACCTAGCCGTATACCCCAACGGGAATGAGCGACCCCCGAAGCACTTTCCAACTTATGGGGCAGAAACACAATCCACTATGTGTATATATGTGCAAACAAAAGAATCCAACTGAAAAGGTATATGATATCATCTACGACACCGAAACACGGCTTCATCAGACACCCTTCCCAAGCTCCCCAACAGCCAGAATTCATTCCCTCCCCGTACATTCGTACATTCGTACATTTCATACTGTCGTATGTAACCAACAACCTCGAAGAGCACCTTCGGTGTGATAATGAACTGACGATGGCGCGGGTGAAGTAATGCAACTAATGTTGATCACGATGATCCTGGACATCCGGATCATGTGAATGTCAGTGGCAGCTAAGGACATGTAAGGAATCCTTACCATGGCGGAACCTACCTAGCGCTAGACAACCGAGGGTACTAGGAGTACAAGATGACGTCCGCAAGGCAGCTGGGAGGCGACGAGGGAATGGTAGGATAGAGGTATCGCAGGCATGCGTGTGGTTCTTTTTGGTCAATGCCACGCACGGATCACAGATGCTGGTTTGGTTTGGTTTCGGGGTTCGGGCAAAAGCAACGAGGCAGTGCAGCCATGCCTGTACGAATGCCTGTACATCAGTACGACAAAGCTGCCGCCATCGGCGCCATCTCCACCCTGGCCCCCTCCCCCTCTAAGCGTATCGGTGGTATCTCACTTAGCTTCAGTTTAACTCAACAGGGACGTTGCTTTATTTCTGCAAAGTACGACGATTTCGCCCGACTGCCGTAGTACGGAAGTTTGCCACGCTAAGAGCACGTGTTTGCCTACGTACGAAGGTAATGTCTGCTGGTACAATGGATTCGCGGGTTAGAGCGAGATTATTTCCATCGCCGCCATCGCCGCAGCTGTGACCGAGGAATAAGTGTCCGTGTTTGGATTTCCAAGCCGGCCTCAGCATCAGGGGTAACCTTTACCCCTTCATAAGGGCGGGTGGCATCGCGCTCTGCGCTTCGTGCATGAGAACAAAGAAGAAGGCAGTTTCTTCCCCTTCCCCTTCCCAGAACACAAAAACATGAACAGGATCAGGGCTAACGTTGTACACCCCTACACTGACTATAGCGCAGCAGCAGACCTCGTGAATGAGGGTCCTGCCTTCTTCCACGAGGCTTAGGACCTAAGAGCTACGTACATCAAAGATTCCCAGGCGCCTGTTGCCATCGCCTCACTGTCCAACAGAGCTTCCCTTCACGAGGCTTTATTTATTATAGCCTTGAAGCTAGGTCAAAAGGTAGTGCACACAAACATGTCCTACTAATACGTTCACCATAGATAAGACGTATGGCGTGTCGTACACCGCTATCATACACATCAACCGTTTTCCACTTGCCGTACGAAAGATGTACCACCACGCCGAGCACCATCACCACCACCGCCTTCACATGTAGAGCTCACAAGGAGGTCACTGGGTTATTACTCAAATCAACCACAGGACAGAAATCCCAAGAGCTCCCTCCGAAGCCCCGTGCGACCCAGTTCCAGATCACCAAAACCGCGTGCTGTTCAGTAGACTTGCATCAAATGGGATCCATCTGGGTTTCGTACCCACACACATGTCGCCACAAGGCAGGTAGGAAGCATTTGCGACTTGCAACTCAGTTTCCGTGCCGTAGCATTTTGCTCTCCATCCTTACCTACTGGGGCACCACGGGCGTCGTTTCTCTGCCTCCTTCCCTTCTACGCGGTGCTGGCGGTGCTGGATTGATAAGTGGATTGTTCCTAGCAGATGGACGTGGACTGTCGCGGCGTGTGTGTTTTCCCATTTCTGTCCCCTCCCCTCCCCTGTCACACAGATTACACAAGCACGCAAGCTGCGGGATTCCCAGATAGGCTTTGCTTCTTCTCGGCACCTCCCCATACCTGTGCAAAACCTCTGCGTGCAGCTTATCGACGGTATGTTTGAAATATCAGCCAGTTGAGAAGGAAAGCGCAAGAAGTTTACGGAAGCTTGCGACCAGATGCCTGTGCCCCCAATCCCCAAAATCTTTGCAACCCTCTGCAAGATGTATGGTGCTGATTATTGCCTGCAGCCCTTGGGGCAATAGCCGCATTTTTTTCTTAAAGGCCCATGTACCACCATTTTGCAGATACATCTGCCGCATTGTCGCATTGCCGACTCGTTATTTAACGTCTGTTTTAAGAGACCATTGTGTTCATCGTTTCCATCACACGCTACACCCTCAAAAATGTGGTATACCTCAACAGCCAGCACCTGCATAGCGAATGCTGTACGACAGGGACACGGGCAATATCCTGCCTTCCTTTTGCGCATTATCCGCCTTAACTTCGGCACCGGGGATTTTGCCTTGCAGACCTCCCTGCCTGCTGATTTACTGGAAGAAAACCACTATCCATCATCACCGTAACACGGCACGCCGTGTTTGTCAACACCTCTTCTTGGCAAGTGTGGTTTGTCGTGCAACAAGCCCTGTAGAGTCGGTCGCTCATCGGAGTTGTTTATCCGGTTTATCCGGTGTCTGGTAGATATCCCCAATCCACACAGTAGACGCCGGTGACGCCGGTGGCGAAGGGGCCACCAAATGGTGCTCGAATGGACTCGAAGGCCGAGATGGAGTTCGGGGTTATTAAGGGTTAGCGGATCCGGAGGTGATCCGTTACGGCGCCATGCTGGCGGGCGGTGTTGAACGCCGCCACGGCAGTGGCAGCGCCGAAAGTCAGCGGCCGGGGCGGCAGCTGCGGCGCGACAGCAGGAAGCGGAGCAACCCATGGGACACACCCCATGGGGGGCCCCCCAACCAAAACACGCCCACAGCCCAATCCGCTCGTCAGTCCGTCAGTCAGTCCGTCAGTCAGTCCGTCAGTCCGTCCGTCAGTTCTTCCACCCTACACAAGGTCAGTCCAGCTGCAACCGGACGCTCCTGTCCGCCATATCCAGCACGAACAAGTTACCCTTATCCCCCCGGCTGATCCGTAGTGTCTCGTCCAAGTACGTGACGGCCAACTCCCCTTGAGCGCCATGTGTGCGAGGAAGGGGGGGAAGGGGGGGAAGACGGGGGCCAGAGAAGGGGGGGGAACAGGGGTGCACATTGCAAAGAAAAAAACCATTTCCTAAGAAGGAGAAATGGAAGGAAGGAAGGAAGGGGAAACCGGCCCCAGCAGCAGCCCCCAGTTCCATTGTGGAGCGCGATGTCAACCCGCGATATCTCATTTCATGTTATAGAAGTTTTCCTGAACAGCATCCACCCGCACTTCCCACCAGCACCTATACACATCTCCCCTCTTCCTCCCCCCCTCCGGGGCCAGATCCAGATGCCGCGATACCCTGTCGTACCTACAGCACTGGGCGGCGCGGTGACGGAAATAAGGCCCAGTATCTTAAATGTACGGAACTGCACAGCCACTCGGTTGGAGCTCAGAGGGGACAGGTCAGCAGACACCTGCATGTGTACCATGAGAGGCAGGGGATTGTACGATATGAAGCTCACATTACGTACTTGCCGTTCGCGTCGTACAATAGAAGCCAGGTACGCTGCACGTGCTCACGTATGGGTACGGGAACGATGGGGTTTGCCGGGAACGGGCCGCAGGACTGGAAGACCGACACCTTTGCGGGTTGGAGGTGATTGGGGTGGGGGGGGCGGGTGAAAAGACTAACCACGAAGAGTGAAGCTGCTGCCAGGGCAAGAGTGTACCCGGGGTAGAGTAGAGTAGGGGGGAAGGGGGTTTCTCCACCAGGAGGGGTGATTCCCCTTTTCCGCAATAACGATGACGATGATGTGCAGTTATCGATCCATCCATCCATCCATCCATCTCGTGGCTCACCCCCTACCTCTCTTCCCTATCTTCCCTTCCCTCCCTCCCTCCCTCCCTTCCTTCCTTCACCCTCCCTCCCTCCCTTCCTTCACCCCTCCCTCCCTCCCTTCCCTCCCTCCCTCCCTCCTCCCTCCCTCCCTTCCTTCCCTCCCCCTCCCTCCCTCCCCCCCTCACCTGATTAAAGAAAGGCCACGTTTCGTTGTTCCGCGCTNTGAGTCGCTCCACATCTGAAGAAACACACTCCAGAACGTGGGGGAGTTGGCACAGTACCACAATGAAATGGTTGGATCACCAACTGGGCTCTTGCACGGAACTGAACTAAAGTAAACGGAACTAATACCCCTCAAACAAACTGAACACGAGAGGCAGCCGACCTGCCGGCGCCCCTCCGCGGACAGTACCATCACAACCGCCACGCAAATGACTAACAGGGGACATCAAGCCTTGTCTACACAATTAACAACTCCTTTAACCACCCAACGAACAACTCCCTGAGCCATATGTCAAGCCAAGGAGGCACGCCCAATCCCTTAGCCGCCTAGCCATCCCTAGCTCGCCCGTACTTCACTTGCCCGGGCCCACCTAGGGTTTGGAAGATAGGGCCCTGGGGCCGCAACGGAGGCGGCCTCGTGGCGCCCAGGATGGAGGCGGAGGTGGTGTACAGCAGCCGCCACTTGCCGCTGAGCAGCTCCGGAGCCTTGAGAGGTTGGGGAGTTGGGTTCAGGCGCTCCAGGGTGCTAGCCAGGCGCTCCACTTCCGCCTTGTCATCTGTGGGGAAATGAAAAGGGAGACAGAATCTCGGAAAAATAAACGGGCTCGAAAGGTTAGGGGTCTGGGGTTAGCAAAGGTGCGGTGCCGCGTTGGGCTGTTGGCGGAAGGGGGCGCGCGTTTTCGACAGCTGTTGATGGTGCACTGTCCCGGAAACGGGCAAGGGAAGACACAGTGTTCTGAGCGATGGTTAGTATGACGGTAATAATTTGGAGGTATTGAAGATGGTGGTAAAAGGAGCGGAGATTGGTCGCGAAACATACCGGCCGTTGCCGATGCTCCGCGATTAAGCCCTGATATGCGTTCCAAGAGTTGTTCCTTGGCTGCAAGCCGTTGTTCAATTTTATTAGATTGGGATGTCAGAAAGGAGAAAATCCCTGCCTTGCAGGTCACTCGTGGCCGTGTGGTAGCGACGTGTGGGTGAGGCCGTGCAAGCGCCATTTCGCTAAAACTCAGGTAATGATTTCAAAGATAGCTGGTCGATGCGGCACTTTCTCTAGCTTTAAACGAAGTGCTACTGAAGCAGGCTTCCAAGACATTATCGTAAGTTCCACAAAACGCACGTACGTCAAGTAGAGAACACTGGAGAAAGCACATGAAGACCCTTATGACATTTTTAAAAAGTATAATTTGCCACAAATACATCAGGAATATTGCTTTTTCGCAGAGCATGTTTGCAATCCTAGGGCCAATTATCGTAGGCAAAAGAACAGTCCCTCCTGCCAATACAAGGAATGCGCACTGCAATCAAAAATCAGCACACGCATCATGTACCAAGCTGTGTCCCGAACTCCATCTCATAACATAGCTTGCTGGACGCAAATGTCCAGAGCGACCGGCCAGCTAGAGGCAACGCGAGAAATCGAAACCGGATTCTGCCAATAAAACACACCGAAATCATTAACGAAAGAAAAATAACGCCACAGACGCCAAGTTCTGGCAAATCGACGTCCATACGGCCCGTCTTTGACGCGCCCCTGCCTAGCCCTGGACCCCCCGATGTATTCGATCCTTTCAGACGCTCCGAAGTACATGACACACGAAACACACCACGATACCAATCTAGCACACTGTTTCGGCCCTTGAGGCCCCGAATACGCACCTACCCCTCAAACCACCGACATCGCACCCTCCCTCGGAGCAATCTGCCTGTCCTTCTCCGTTACCCAAAAGCACGAGTGCGCAACATCCCTTCTTGGTTTTACTTATACAGTGTAGCACTCCCAATGCTGCTACTGCCGGGGCGAGCGCACTGGACCCGGGAGAAGAGCAAAAACTTCCTCGCGGCGCACGAGCGGCCCAAAGCAACACAAGCAAGAACATTAGTCTGGCACACCGCCAGCGTCCCCTTCCACCCCTCTTCCAGTCCGGCATTCTTGCAGCTGCTACAGCCACCAAGCCAGGAATTTTGCTACTGCCCTAGGACACGTTCTAGCAGGAACACGTTGCCCTTGTTGTCCCGACCCACACGCCAACATCCCCCCTCCGCCGCCGCCGCCGCCGACCCGCCGACCCGCCCCCGGCCCACCTCCCCCACCACCATCACGTCTCCTTCGCCCCCTCTCCCAGCATTCCCGGAGGTATTGAGATCCACAAGATCCAGGTACGTCAAATCCAGGTAGCCCTCCGGATTGAAAATGGAGAGCAAAAGGTCTAAATTGGCCTCGAAGATTTTTTGAAGCTGGGTGGGGACCTGTAGGGGCGCATCGAGAGGCGGGAGGGAAGGTGTGTGCATGGGGGCTTGGGGATTTTGTGCACACTCACCGCTGACACGCGTGTGTGTGCGTGTGAGACCATGTGTGTGTTTTGGGGCCCTTGCGAGCTTGCGACTTGTATCTTTGGGGGATTGCTCCCCCGGGGGGTGTCGTGCTGGGGTTTGTTCAACAGTAAAAACACGTCCTGACATTCACTCCCACTACTGTCTCCCCCCGCAAAAAAAAACCCAAACCTCAAACCCCCCTCTCCCCCCGACCCACCAATGTGGAGTCCAGATAAGTGATCCCCACTCGCCGCTCCGAAACCACGTTGTAGTTGGCTCGGATGGTGAGGAAACCCCGAAGGGAGGAAAACCCCGACACGGAGAACTCGATGCGGTTCACCTGGGGCCCCAAGATGGGGGTGGAGAGGTTTGCTTCAGGAGAGGGGTTGAGATGGAGAGAGGGAAGAAGACGGCGATGATGGTGATGGTGATGATGACGGTGATGATGGTGATGGTGATGATGACGGTGATGATGGTGATGGTGATGGTAACAATGGTAATTTTGCAAAGGCCAAAACAAGTAACTGTCGAGGCCCATTGCATCCATTACCAAAGCGGAAATAAGGGAAGCACAGGTAAGCCGATTGAACGTGAACACGTTCGGTAAACAAACACACAAACAAGCAGACAGACAGACAGACAGACAGACAAGTCGATGCAGGGCGCGGTAAGGTGCACAAGGGACTGCTGGTATGGATGACCATTCCAGGAACCTGTAGTCGCTAACACTCCCGCAATACACACACAGACAAACAGACAAACAGAGGGGGTGTCGAATGCTGGAGACACTGGGTTTTACTTCAGTGCGCTGGACAGCTGGGTTGGGAGTCCCAGGGGCCCATGGGCACCGGTGTGAGTGCATCGGTAGGCCGCGCAGCTGTAGAGGATGCGCTTTCGGTGGATTGGGGTTTATTAGGCACCTGAGCTGGTGTATGTAGCTGGCCTGAGGATTCGAACAGGTGACGGCGCCTTGTTGTTGTTGGTAAGGGAGAACGGCAAGGAACCTCACCGATATAAGGCCCCTCCGATGATGGAGAGTGCTTCGGCGGTCGTTCCTTCCCGTTGGAGTATACGGTTAAGCGCCCCTGGCCAACGTCAGGCCCGGAATCGATACGTAGTAGATACATACAGACACACACACACAGACAGACAAACCCTACCCGCGCCTCCGCTTCGCGCTTTACCTTGCCCCGGTGGGGGCCTACCTAACCTCTCTTCCATCCCCCACAACCAAAAATGCATCACATCTTAGACGACGTTTCCCACTTTCCTTCCCTTCCCCCCTCCTTTTCCCAAAAGTACGCAATCTACATCGCGGAGGGCCCCACACACACTCCACCCCCCCCCTACCGCCAGGTTATTGGCCGTGTCGATGTGTTGAATAAACGCCCCCAGCTGCACGAACTCCCGAAGGCCCAGTTTAGTGCGCTTCGCGCCCTGAAGGCGGATGTGCGGGTGAGTGGATGGTAGGGTTTCAGACGGGTATTTACGAGCGGGGATTGGGTGGAGCCTGATCTGGGTGGGCGGGTGAGTGGGCGGGGTATCGATATGCATACATCTGGAGATGTTAAATTTGTACGTAAGCTGTCCCAAGGGTCAAGGAGGGTGGAGGTAGCAGCAGCAGCCGCAGCGGCAGCAGCAGCAGCAGTCGCTGAGAAAGGGTTTCGACCGCCTCTGCCAGACATCTCACCGTGATGGTGATGGTAGAATAAAGGAGTCGCCAGTCCCCTGCAACGGCTTCCAAGTTTGCGGTGGGCGCAGTCTGGGTGTTATGCTTCTCCAGCTCGCTGATGAGGGCCAGAATGCGAGCTTTTTTGGCCGCCTGCACGAATCCCGTCCCACCGCAACTCAGTTTACAGCTCTAAATATTTAATTCCTTGTGCGCTGTAAAGCTCACCGGCACTCCAAATATGCCCCTATCCAAACCCTCCAGCTCGCTCAACAGCTGTGCCTTTATCTCTTGTGGACCGCTGGTCAACCCAGACAGATCTGCGGTTGAGACTATAGATGAACATAATCCATTAGATGTTGAGCGCGCAGTGTATTGCCGCCGGGCTGTGACGCGGACGCATGGAGCGACGTGTGAGGCCTTAAAAGGCAAAGCCCGCTGACCGTGCAATTGTCGCATCTTTTCCGTCTATGTCTAAGCAAATGAAAATTGCTCTTCATTCCCCATTTAGGAAAGCAAATGTTCGTCGTGTACAGGACGGTTGGTGAAACGGCCATAATTGCAACTGTCCGTATTGTGTGCAAAATTGCAATGTAACCTTGGCTTCGCGTTTCACCACGTCAATATCTTCACTTCTGCTTACCGCAGGCCATTTCTGCTCATTATCGGAACCTCGAAGCGTGTGCGCATACATCGTTTTCCCTAATTGTGTCGCAATGTCAGCGTTTGAGGAGCTTGGCGTGATGCCGGAGCTGGTGAAGGCCGTTGAAGAGCTTGGCTGGATGTAAGATCGCAACGGCGCACCCCTTTAATGTTCCTCGCGAAATGGGTGACTCACAACCTTGTTACAACGCCACAGGCTTCCCTCTCCAGTTCAGGCGGAGGCCATACCGCTCATCCTCGGAGGTGGCGACGTCATGGCGGTGAGCTCGCGCGCTTTCATATTTTACTCCTCCCTAATGGCGGTCCATCCAGACATCTGGGTCTAACATCCCAGCCGCTGACAGTCTCGTAACAGGCATTTTTCCCCTCACCCGAAATAATAACTTATTTTTAAAAGTTTGCACCGCCCGCGCCGTCCCTTCGTCACGCACCGGGATAATCACCGCCACCACGCAGGCTGCTGAGACGGGCAGCGGCAAGACCGGGGTACGTTAAAGCAAGGCTCCAGGGTGGGGTGGGGTGGGATGAGTTCGGATATGCTGTTTGGAAAGCCTCGACCCTGCATATCTGTCAACAGCTGCCAAGCTGTTCAGCTATCAACGTCGGGGGCAGGAGGGAAGGGAAAGGAGGGAATTGGTAGTAACCATGGCCTCCCCGGCTTTTACGGACACACCCGCACTTGTGTGCGGAACTTGTAACTTGTAACTTGGTAGTAACCCTAACCCTAAGGAGAACAACGGAAGCAGGCCCCAACGTGCAATCTGCCCGTCACGGAGTCGCAGGCTAGCTAGTTCCTCTTGCGACCTAGCTCTCCTCCTTTGCCGCCACCAGGCCTTCGCCATCCCCGTACTGCAAATCGTTCACGAGGCCCTCCGACAGCGGGTGCGCAGCGGCGCTGCCGCCAGCTCAAGCGGCCGCGGTGGCGGCAACGCCGGCGGCGGCGTCGCCAGCCCGGCGGCGGAATGCGTGCTGAGTACGGAGGATCGGGATCTGCATCTCGCCGTGTCGTCGGACGGTTGTACGGCACAGAGTCGATCTGAAAAGAGCTGGGGCGGCGTCCGGGCCACGATGGGCGTGTTTGCGTCCTGCGGCGGCAAAGTCTACTATGAGGTGGGTTAGTGTGCTCACTCCGTGTGTATGCGCATGTATGTGGTGTATGTGATGTATGTGCGTATGTATGTGTTGGCTGTCGGGGAATCATTGAGCCTTTAAAGCAGCCAAGCAGTCAACGGAATCTGACATGATATCAATTATTGCAAGTGCCTCTCCATTTGGATTTACGTACATGTATAAGACAATGGAACTCTACCAGCGGTTGCCGAGCACCTGGGAAGATCCGATTTGGCAACTAACCGCCCAACCAACAACTGTCATAACCGCTTTTCACGCACAACTGACAGGTAACCGTTAACGACGAGGGGCTGAGTCGAGTTGGTTGGAGCTGCTCAACCGCCGCCCTGGATCTGGGCACTGACCGACTGGGGTTTGGTTTCGGAGGCACCGGCAAGAAGTCCCACCAGCGTCAGTTCGACTCGTACGGCGAGCCGTAAGTACGGAATAAGCCACTTCGTCATCCCAATGCACGATGTCAAGGAGTTCCCGAATGCCGAAGTTCGCTCTATCACGCAAGCCCGCGATAATATCATCATCATCATCATCATCATCATCATCATCATCATCATTATTATCATCATCATCATCACCATCATTATTATCATCATCATCATTGTTCCCCCCCTCGGCCCACGCACCTCTATAACTCTCACCTCCCACAGCTTTGGCAAGGGCGACGTCATCGGCTGCATGCTGGACTGTACGGGAGGCGGATCTGTGTCGTACAGTAAAAACGGGCGACATCTGGGAGAGGCCTTTAAGCTGCCACCGCACCTTCAGAGCCAGGTTGGTCGTGTATGTGTAATACGTATGTACGTATGTATATGTATGATGTGTGGGACAGGGGGGTCATATCTTCACCCTGCGGCCGCTACCCTGCGAAACCCTGCCTTCCCCGGTATTTCGGGGGGCACTCATTCGGTCACCCTAGTCAACTTCTCAGTGGATTGTTCAGGTTCCGCATGTGCATCTCTGCCCTATCGACGGCGGCTCAACGCCATTCCTGGTCAGCTCGCGGGTCAACTTTATCCCAGGTTACCATCGTCCATCGACTAGGGGCATTTTACCTTCACCATCGGAAGTATTTTCGACCCTGACAGGTCTCGATCCCGGGATCTCCCGGGGGCAATGGTCGTGCCTTACCAGTAGTGCCTAACCTGCATTGTATGTATGTGTGGTGAGGGTGGTTGGGGGTGGGGGTGCTTATGCTTGCTTGCTTGCTTGAAGAGTGAATGAATTTAAGTGGTGGAGTTCCTCAGTGACCTCAGTGCTCCACTCAGGTCAGGGGTGCCGGGAAGGGGCTGACAATAACCGCCCTCCCCCCCTCCCCCCTCTCCCCTAGATCTTCCTTCCAGCCATCTGCCTAAAGAACGCCGAAGCAACCGTCAACTTCGGAGTCACACCCTTCGCCCACCCGCCCCCACCGGGCTTCATCGCCATGACCAAGGCACCCGCGGCGTGGATCGCCGCCGCCGCCAGCGCCGCCGCCGCTGCCACCTCTTCCACCGCCGCCGCCGCCGCCGCGGATGGCAGCAAGCCCGATTGCATCATTCTAGAACCCGCCAAGGATCTCGCCGAACAAACTGCCAACTGCTTTACCGACTACGGCAAACACCTCCATGCGCCGGCTATCCGTACGGGATTGTTCGTTGGGGGTGTGGATGCCGTACCGCAAATTCGGATGCTTCGAGAAGGTGTGCACATCGCCGTTGGGACTCCTGGACGAGTGATTGACTTCGTGGAGAGCGGCAAGATACCGTTGGATCAGGTCTGGCAGGGGCTAGAGATGGTTGGTGGTTAGTGGTTGGTTGTTGACATGTGTGGGCCAAAGCTCTCCATGCTATTCCGACACGACGGTTACAGGGGTGTACGTGTATGTGTGTATGCATGGTGGTGACAAGGGGGAAAAGGGGGGGAAAGTGTGCTGCGTAACAAATGGCGTCGGGTATCGTTCTGGGCTCCGTCCACAATAGTGCTGTTGTGGTTGACACTATCCCCCACCCCCTCTGTAATCCTTCCACCCCCACCTCCCTCCCACCTCCCCCGCACCTCCCCCCACCTCCCCCGCACCTCCCCCCACCTCCCCCCCACCTCCCCCCCACCTCCCTCCCACCTCCCTCCCACCTCCCCCCCACCTCCCCCCCACCTCCCCCGGGACATCGTCCTCAGGTTCGTTTCTTCGTGCTGGATGAGGCAGACAGGTAATGGGGGAGAGGGGGAGTGGATGACGTGCGTGTGAACCCCCCCTTAAACCTCCTCCTTAAACTCCGAAACCTCCTGAAACCGCTACTTGCAGGCTGATTGCTGACAACCCGGATGTCGTCACCAAGATCTACAACCGCCTGCCCAAGGGGGGAACGGGAGTCAATAGACTGCAGGTGTGTATGTATGTATGTGTGATAATATCTCACAACCAAGGAATGATGGTATCGAAAGATACCGATTGAGTCACTTGCACCCTAAGTCACTTGCATAAACTGCAGTTCAGTCTTTTGCCGATAAGCCTCCCCGGCTTTATCCAGATAAAGCCCGATACCACACACAGAGGTATGAACTTCCGCAGCAGTGCGGCATTTAAATGACGAACTCGACCACCAGCAGCCGCACGACGCCGACGGCTAAGTGATATCGGTATGGAGTACGCCGAGGCGGATAATAAATGTACAATCGATGGTTCCAAACACAATGCGAAGCTGCAGAGAATAGCTAACGCAGTAAGAGTCTATATGAGTCTTACCAGAAGTAGACCAGTGCACTTGTAGACCAGTGCACTGGTACAAATCGCAGGAAAGGATGTAGTAATTCTCGACATCTATATAGTCATCAGCGACCACCGGAATGAAGGGTCTGTGTTCCAAACGTGTACTGTCAAAGAGGGACCTCGTCAACGGTTCAACATGGACGCGGGAAAGTGGCTTTATGGTGCAGGGTGTGGCATCATCGGGAATGGCGATTTGCCGGTAAAAAGCTTCACTGCGGAGCGAAATGACATCTTGCAGAGGGAGGTGGCCTGTGTGATATTGTTGCAGGTACACCAAGGGATTCAAAAACATCAGAATATTCGTCTATGGGTAATTGCAGCTCAGGGCCCGATGGGTCAAAAGCAAAAATTGACGAGAGGTCAATTGCAATTTAGACTTAATTATAACAGGCCATGCGGCACTTAAGGATAAGTGGAACAGCATCTCTTCGACCCATTGGTTCAGGTGTCACACACTGACACAAGAGTGTGGCTACAGCGTAATGAACTTACGGTTCTAGGTAAGCAGTGGTACTCTCTGTGCTGCAAAACCACGTGCTGTGCTATGATGAAAGGTGAGAAAGGTGCCTTGTGGGCATGGGTCCCCTTGTGCAGCTGCAGAGTGCGCGCGACGCTAAACTGAAGGACGCCCCCATACCCCCAAATGTAGGGGACCCTAAGAAGAAGTGCGTGGCAAAAGTGCAGGCATCTCAGGCAACATGTGCAACGAGGGCACCGTTAAGCGCAGATACCCTGTGGCAGCCTAGAGACGTGTAGCTATGAAGGCTCAGTTGTCTGGACAGGTTCCTCGCCGGGGCTATGGGCTTGGCAAATGTGCGGCCCCGAATGTGTAAAATAATTAGGCACGGATATGACCGCCGCTGAGAGTGTGTCCAAAGTTATGATGCGGCTAGTCAAAAAGCGGAGCGGTTTGGGGATGCTGTACCCGATATGACCTACTCTCTAGCTCTCTAGGGCTTAGTGTAAAGGTGTAGCCCTGACAGCGCAAGGATTACGCATAGGTATGCCTAATCACAACATCATAAATAAGGTTTATGGTGGTTGCCAGCCCAAATTAGAACGGGCGGGGATGACAAATTTGTCCTGGCGAGCTACTGACCTTACTGATACGTGTGTACAATTTTCTGTTGGGCCTTAGGCGCAACAGAAAGACGCGGCACAAGACAACCCGATAGCCCTAGATAGCCTCTGCTTATCGCCCCATTCGCGAGCGTAACATGCGACTAGGTACAGGTTTTACTAGGCGTCAACCCAAACCGCTTCACCAGAGAGAAATGAAGTCGTCACCTACACGAGCAGAGAACAGTGACGATGCGGACTTGGATAAGACGCACCTTTTCACCTGGCAGAGTAGCGGTGAAGGCGAAGTGTCAGGGGAATCGAGGATTGAGCGGAATTGAGGATTGTACCAAACATCGAAACCCTAAGGCACAACCCAGGAAGCGGCACAGGCCGACCTTCCAGGCCCAAAATGTTATTATTAACACGGAATTGGACAACGTTCCATCCCATGCAAATATTGATATAATGATAGGTAATAAATTAGACTTGGCTTTACATTAATACATTTATTCATTGGTCATCCTTTAAACGGTATCCATTTTATTGTTTTCGTATCCAACGTGTTATTCTTGTATTATGTGTAGTACCACTGGGCTTGCTTGGGATAATTGCAATATTATTAATAGTTAATAAGCCTCTAGGACTTGTTGTTATTTTAGGGATAATTGCTCTTGTTGGTATGATTGCCCGTAATTCGGTGATTGTCATAAGATCAAATAGAAACTGAAATTACCTACGTACGGCCTGTCTCGGTGGGATGCTGTCGTAACTGCGACGGTTCACCGTTTTCATCCAGTAATTTTAACTGCTGCGGCGGCAATATTCTTGGAATGACGCTTGCAGAAAAAGTTAGTTTCATCTGCCACAACTCCAAAACGGAAAGAGAGGAGAAAGAAAAACGTATGTCCACACAGGTCGTTAGCAGAGAGTGACCGAGAACACGGCAAAACCAGATTACACAAAACAAACTCCCTCATCGCAGCACGAGCATCAAAGGACAGTTTTCGTCCAATAACTCGTTCAGCCTAACCGCTAAGACCTAGGGCAACAGTGCCATAGGACCTGCCTAGCAGAAAACAGCGAAAACTCGTTCCCTAAGTCAAACTCAAGCAGAGTCCCGTCCACAGGGGCCTGGGCAGCGCCCTACTTCTGGTTGGGCCACAACAGGCAGGTCACCATCGGAGGCCCATCTCCACAATGCAGACTCTTCTTTCGCTTTCACCAATCATCTAGCTCCGCCCGAGTACAATGTTATTTTTATCACACGTCACTGATCTTCTTCGTTTCGTTTGCCCTGATCTGACCCGGCTGATTCCTGGCCCCAGTAATGGAAGGTCATGGGCGCCTCCATCTTTTATATAAATTGTATATTGGGTCTAGTATAACTAGGATGTTTCTTCTGCCATCAGCAATGGCCCCGGCGACCCCCCCCCCCCAAGGCTTACCGGCATCTGAAGCGTCATCAGTGCCGCCCACCTTACACCCAAAACGTTCCGCAGCGATGATGGCACCACGATGATAGAGGGGTGCCCCAGCAGGGGTGCCCCAGCACCGGGTCCAGCTCTGGGGTATGCGAAAGGAGGGCATTAGCAATAGGGAGCAGAAGGAAAGGCTTGCAAGAAGGCGCATTTGAGTACCCAGAGTGTAACGTGACAGATGGCTGTATTGAGGGGGTGCATGGCATACCCAAAAAATCTTGGTATCACACTTCCGAACAAATTCCTGGGAAAGACCGCGTTAGAAACAGGAAACCCTACCTCAATTCAGAAACCCACAAAAGGTGTGATAATTGCCGCAAAACACGACTGATAAGCCAGGACGTTTTCAACAGATGTGATAGTACCTACTAGCGAGAATGGTGCGTGCTTCCATGTCGCGGGCAAAGCCTCAGGAGGGAGTTGGATGACTAGTGCAATGAACAGTTTGTCGGACGTGAAGGAGGATCATCGTGCCATGGACCACTGATCATACCAAGCCTTCATCATACCATAACCATACCATGAACAGACAGCGCGCTGGCTCCTGACCTCCCCCCTCAGGATTGAGGGGGAACATCTCCAAACGTCCCGACCCGAAACACGGAATCAGGCAAGTAGGGCAAGGTAACCCTACCGAAAATTAAACCTCCTCAGCGCAGTTATGCAACGCTTCGAGAGAGCGCAAAGCGCCACGGGAGCGGCGAACAAGCTCACGCAATCGCAGGATCGCGGGAGGAGTAGGGGCAACAGTGTTTACCGCAACGAGAGGGCCTGCAAATCTAGAAAACGTTGAAATGCAGCTCAAAATAACAGAATAAAATGAAAGACGAGACGGACTACCAACCCATGGTCACTGCGGCAGCCATCACCGCAATGCCGAGGTCCGCAGCGAAAGAGTAGCTAAGGGACCGAGATCTTCAAAGTTAGATGAATCCGCCATAGCCGAAGTAGGGTCCATTCTCCCGTAAGAGCTGGGTAATCGCGGAAGCGGGATTGAGACTGGTCCGTAAGGAACCTGTCTGGACACCAAACTTGTAGCATCATACAACTACAGAATGGTGGCTTCAAAAGAATACGATTGAGACAAGTGGCTTGAATGCTTGGGCCGCAGACCGATAAATCCCCCAGTACGACTGGGCGGCGTGATCTTCGGATGACCGTAAACCATACTTTCGATTGGTTGAGCAGACGAACCAGGGACGCAGGTCCCACCTTTATCCAGATAAAGCCCGATACTATACACAGGTATGGACTTCTGTAGCTGTGCGGCATTTCAATGACGAACTCGACCAGCATTAGTCGCAAGTCGTCGGCTAAGTAATATCAGTATTAAGTAAACCCGAATTCATAATCAGCAAATATAAAGAAACTTTAGTTAATTACATCAGTGTTTAAGTAAACCGAACTGGACGAACCTACATTCGACAGTTAGCCCATAGAGCCGCAAGCTCTGCAGAAAGCTTTCAGTATACAACAGTATATGTCTGTATGCATGTATGTATTATGTTTGTATGTGTGTATCATGTATGAATGTATTATGTACTATATTTTATGTACGTATTATGTAGTATGTGTGTATGCGCACTGGGGGCTTACTGTTGTCACGATGGTTGAGGGGCGAGTTAAGGCGGGGGGGAGAGAGGGAGGGAGGGAGGGAGGGCAGGGTGGAAGGGCAACAATCCTACCTTGGGCCCATCAGGAGATGCTACTCCTCCGACCCCTCAACCCCACAGTACCCATGCCTTCCCCCCCCAACCCTCCATACACACCCCTCCCCACCCCCTCAACCCCCTCGCCGTACAATCCGCAACCCCTCCTCCCCCCCCCAACCCCCCGACCTGCTAAGGTGCTCCTCTTCAGCGCCACCCTCCACAGCACCGAGGTGAAGGACATGGCCGCCAAGATCTGTGTGAACCCCATCTTGGTGGATTTGAAGGGGAAGGATGCCGTACCGGAGACCGTTGACCACGTCCTGGTGAGTTTGTGCGGAGGGAGGGAGCGGTTAGAGTGGTTAGGGGAGTTGGTTGGTGGCATGTTCTTGGTGGTGTACATATGTGTTTACCGCTCAAAACATTATTAAGTGTTTGTCACATCTTCTTGCATCACGTGGTGGTTACTCCGAAACCACCATGTATCAATACAATGCCGCCATCCAGCGCTGGGATGCGTTTTACATGTATGTTTGTATGTGTATGGGCGGCACACCCCGCTACCTCTTACCTCCTGGCTGTATCGTATTGCACGTCCTACGTCGTACCACAAACTCAACACTCCCCCAATACCTCAATCCACCCCCACCCCCACCCCCAACCTTCAATCCTCGTACCCCAAGGTTCGTGTCAACCCCGCGGAGGACCGCAGCTGGCTGCAGAGCAAACCCGAGGTGTGTGTGTTTGTATGTGTGTATGTATGTATGCTTGTTCCGTATGTTTTCTCTTGTTTCGCTACTCTTATACATTACATTACTACTCTTGTATTATATTATATTATGTTATATTATATTATGTTATATTATATTATATTATATTATATTATATTATATTATATTATGTTATATTATATTATATTATATTTATATTTATATTATATTATATTTATATTTTTATATTTATATTTATATTTATATTTATATTATAATTATAGTATATTATATTAATAATAATAATCGCCTCCTTCCGCAGGTGTTTACCGACGGCTGTCACGCCGTGGACTGCATAGGGCCCAGCACCGCCACCACTCGCGAGTGCCTCTCCGAAGCCACAAAACGACTGAAGCAGCGGCTGCTACAGCGCCTCATTGACACACTCCGCATGGAGCAGTGCCTGATCTTCTGTCGTACAAATTACGACTGCGATCAGCTGGAGCGCTTTTTGAACAGCCTGGGGGGAGCCGGGGGTGGTGGCGGGGGTGAGGGCGGGTTTCGTGGCAAGATGGAGAGCGGCAAGGAGAATCCGTACAGCTGTGTCGTACTGGCTGGGGCGAGAAGGTAATATCGGGCTTGAGGCAGGCGGGAAGGCGAGGGGGAGATAAAGACGATGGTTATTGTGTTGGCAGTTGGCAGTTAGCAGTTGGTGGTGCTTGGAAACCAACAACAGTCGGCGGTTGTCCCGTTACCTTTCCTTACGCTCTTGCAAGTGATTAGCCCCCACCCGCATTCCAATCTTTACTCCACTTCCCGGGGTATTCCTCCCCCTCTTCCCAGCAGCTTCACTCGTTTGTGGTTCGTCTTTCCCCTCTTTACCTCCTCCGCCCTCCCCCACCCCCCCCGGGGGTTGTTCTTGCATATGACCTCCCCACCTCCCCACCTCCCCACCTCCCCATCTCCCCACCTCCCCACCTCCCCACCTCCCCACCTCCCCACCTCCCCACCTCCCCACCTCCCCACCTCCCCACCTCCCCACCTCCCGGGCAGTATGGACGAGCGCCGTGCTGCGTTATCCGCCTTCAAGGACGGTGACGTGCGCTTCCTCATTTGTACGGACGTGGCGGCCCGGGGTATTGACATCAAGGAGCTGCCGTACGTTATCAACATGACGCTGCCGGACAAGAGCGAGGATTACATTCACAGGGTATGTGCCCACACGTGTGCGGGGTGGGTGAGGAGGTTATTGTGTATTTGTATGTGTGTGTGCGGTAAGGTTTTTGGTGCCGTTACGATTTGGGTGCGCCGGGGGGTTGCCAGTGGGGATTTGAATTAGGGGGGAGGGGAGGCACCGACTGGCTGAGTGGGGCACCGGCTGAAACCCGTAACGCCAACAACCTTTAAACTGCCAACGCAAAGACATCCGGATGTATTGCCTGACACGGACATCACATGATAAATGCTCCGGAACCCCCATCCGCACTCATCCTCCCCGCAGATCGGTCGCGTGGGGCGTGCTGATACGATGGGTCTGGCGATCAGCCTGGTTTCGGAGGTTCCCGAGAAGGTGTGGTACTGCAGCGTCAAGGGACTCAAGCCCTGGCTGGCGCCCGACGCGTCCAATACAAAAACCACGGACAAGGGTGGACACACTATTTGGTGGGTGCGGCGAAGGGGGGAGGGGAGGGGAGGGGAGGGGAGGGGGAAGGAGGGAGGGGAGGGGAGGGGGAAGGAGGGAGGGGAGCGGGAGGGAGGGAGGGGGAAGGAGGGGAGAAACGGAAGGGGGAGGGGAGGCGAAGGAGCACAGCCCAGCTACTGCAGGCGGGTTGGATGGCGTTGGCGGTGTTGGGGTCGCGGGGGGGTGGGGTGGGAAAACTAGGGGCTTAGCTGGGACCGGTGAGCCGGACACGTGTGTGTGTGTGTGTGTGTGTGTGTGTGTGTGTGTGTATTTGTGCGCAACCCATCCCTCGACCCCACCATTCCTACACCCCCGTATTGGGGACGACCACAACCATGCTGCATATTGCATCGTATGATTTCCCCTCACCCCCCACCAACCCCCTACCCAACCCCCACTCAACCCCCACCCACACAAACACACTGACGGCGTGCTTTCACTCTTCCTTTCCTTTCCTTTGCAGCTTTCATATCAGGTTCCATCTCTCGCGTTCTCGTCGGCGCCGTACCGACTTAAATGCCGTATTCCGTACCATCCCAACCCTACTGTCCTACTGCTCGTCCCGTACATGTACGATGCAGGTACGACGAGAAGGCCCTCCTAGGGGCCATTGAAACTCGTCTGGGTCGTTCCATCCCCTCTATGAGTGAGGACCTAAGCCTGCCTGCCGAGCTGGCGGAGCGGCTGGCGGCTGGGGGTGACAAGTATGGGCAACAGCGTGGCGGCGGTGTGAGCCAGGAGGTACGGGCCAGGCCAGGTTGGGTTTGTCTGTTTGTTTGTTTGTTTATCGCGGGCTCTTTTGGGGTGGTTTTGGGTTTTAGATGAGGTGGTTTTGGGTTTTTGACGTGTAGGGATATGGGTTGTATCCCTGTATATGGTGTTGTATCCCTCGTGCCATACACGTCTCTAGGCCGCCTTCTGGCGCACGGGGGGGGGGGTTGAGTGGGGGGAGTTTTGAGTGGGGAGTTTGAATGGTCCAGAATGTAATGCGAAAAAGCGCGTTTCTACTAATCTTCCTGTTGCCGTGCTGTTGCTATGCTCCTGCTATCGTTGTTTAAGTTGTTGTTGCTGCTGCTGCTGTTGTTGTTGCTGCTGCACAGGTGACTGCGCACTTGGAGCAAATTGCGCAGAACGTCCAGCATCTGGCGTCCTTGGAATGGCACGTGCAAACGAGCTTCCTGCGCTTGAAGCAGCGGTGGCAGTCGGCCCAAGGTTGAGGAGGCGAAGGCGGCGCAGCTAAGGGCTCCAACGCTGAGGAGGTTGACGAAGGCTCGGGACTGCACAACGGACTAATAGGCTAGTAATCTTTTTGCTTGTTTCAGTTCCCAGTTCTTTGTGGGAGGATGAAGGATATGGGGGGTATGGTTGTTGCTAAAAACATAAAGGATGTGTGTATGGAACGGCGAATTTGTGCCAACGAGTTGTAGGAAATCCCTGGAAGTTTGAGCGTCGTTTAATTGCAGGGTGAGTTCGTGGATGTCGTGCGAAAAATGTTGGCTTAATTGAAGCAGTTTTGAAGGATATGCTAAAAGGGCCACCTTGGCAGCTTGAATCAACGAATGGGGTGGCTTGGCCCGTGCTGCTTGCGGGTAAACTTGGATTTTACGACCACTCTCGCCCAGAAAGTTTCTGAACGTTTCCAATAGAGCGCATTAATACAATCGGAATGTTGCCTAAATTGACACCTTGTAAGGTTAATTTGCGCAGTTAAGTGACGTACCACTTTCGTACCACAAATGTGGGTTTCCCTGATGCAGCTGGGTTGCAGATGGAGTCGATCGGTCCAGACAATAGTACCTGAACGCAGGCCCATACACGAGACAATCGACTCGCAGGCGGTCCGCCATAAGCGGTCGCCGGAGTTGTCACCTTTACGCCTGAGCGATTTATATGACAACTTCTTTGCTGCCGTAATAATTAGTACTTGTTATTTATAGGTGACATCCCTTGGTTTCACTGCTGAACTTTGCCTACTGGAACACGGTACAGAATGTTGAAATTGAAGCAACCTGTTTCTTGCCGTCTCAATCAGCGCTGCACGACAGTGCTTCCACGTGCAGCACACAGAAGAACGTTGACCTGTCGAGCAATGCTGCCTCTGGGAGTGCCAATCAGTGTGCTGAGTGATAGCTACAAGGCTACGCACTTTCTGCAGTACCCAAAGGCGCATAAGATGGTTGCGGTGAGTTGTCTGCCTTTAAAAGTTATGCCGCCGAGGGCAGGCTTGTTGATGGAAGCTTATGACACCATTCGCACGTCTCCTTCGGTGCAGTATGGTGAGTTTCGCCAGGGGTTCAATAAAGACAAGGCAGACACGCGCATGGTGTCATACGGCATCCGTTACCTGGTTGAGAATTATGTTGCGAAGCCCTGGACAATGGAGGACGTCGAGATGGCTGAGGCGTTCTACAGGTACGCCGCCAGTGAGCCGAACTAAGGGAAACCTTGCAGTTGAAAACCTCAAGCAAAAAATTATCAAACCCTCGCAGAACACATATGTCACCGGGCTACACACCGTTCCCCTTCCCTCGTCCACTCTTTGAGAAATTCATTCGAGAGAACAACGGTGAGTTCCTGCACCTGCTGCTTGGCCAAATCGCGCGGCCGCATGCACTCCTCGTCCTGCACCTTCCACCTCATGGAAACTCCAGGCCAGCAGCAATCCATGCCTAGCGCAAAAGGGCCACGCCGGCTGGACATCGTCCCTGGAACGGCGATTTGTGCTGACCTGCAGAGGCCGGTTTTCCGCGCTTTCCGACCACCCACACCCTTCAGACGGTCTCTGCGCCACTTGGCCCAACCTTCCGGGTTTTCCAGGGCCCAGTTAAGCGGGCTCCCCCCCCCCCCGACCACCCCAAGGATCTGCTGCCGGCGGCCCGCAGTCGAGAGGGCGACCTAACCTTACCAGCTGCGCCCCCTCAGACGCCCTTCTCCTCAGCCACACGTGATTACCCGCCGCCACGTCCTGTGTGCCGAGCAGGTTACTTCCCTGTGAAGCTGGAGGCGCTGCCCGAGGGCACTTGCATCCACGCCCGCGTCCCGGTGTACCAGGTGCGTGTGAGACCCCTGGCCCCCCGGGGGCCTGGGAGGGGTGGTAGATATTCGATCCTGGTGATGACGCTGGTGAGGGTGAGGGTGATGCTGCTGCTGATGATGGTGGTGGAAGTGGTGTTGATTTTGCAAAATTGGAAACGTGCTTGTCATGCTCAGACAATACGCTCCAGGCTTAGCAGTTGTAAGGCAATTTTACAGGCTAAGCAGTTTACCAGTGGCCACTAAGCCCCACTCATTCCGGAGCATAGAGAAGAGGGGCTGCGCGGTGTTGCGCACTGCCCGGGGGGGTTACTGTGCAAAGCATGGGGTGGGAGGGTGGGGGGAGCGGGGAGGATATCGGGGGGGGTGGGGGGGGAGGACTGACGGAGGGTGACACGGTTTGACACGCCGGTGTTTCGCGGCGTGGGTTGGTCCCGGGGAGTGAGCATGTACAGGTACGGCAACAGCGTCAGATTGCAGCACCGGCTCGCTGTGTGTGCACGTTGTTGTTGTGTTTTGGGGTCCTTCCTCCCCCCCGCTGTTCTTCTGTTGCGTTGCCTTCCTGGGCCGAGAAGCAGTAAAGGAGCGCCGTAATCTTAGAGATTATGTCTGGGCTTTTCGTTTGGGTCCTGACCTGGGTTCGATTCCTGCTGGGAGCGCAAGCGGCAGCAGTAGCAGGAGGAGGAGGAGGAGGGAGCAGCCAGTTCGAAGCGGCGGGACTGCGCCAGATTCCCAGGGGCATGCCGAATTACATGCGGCACGGGTGCATGGGGCGTTTTGGCATATAGGGCCCCCCGCTGCCGACGGATGCACGCTGCATGACTGGCTGGTCGTTGACATCATCATTGACATTGACATTGCCACAGTCAGTGGGCATGGGAACAGGACGCAGCGCACGAGGTATCGGCAAGGAACTGGGATTTGGCGGAAAGAGGGAAAGCAGGGGAAAGCATATGTCAGCTCAGTATGTATGTCCTTAGCTCCACTCTCATTGCTGTCGTTGCCTCAGACATCTCCCCCCTACATACCACTCACCCCCCCGCCCTTTACTTCCGGAACCACCGGGGGGGGTTGTCGATGATGGCATCACATGACCGCCTAGGACGCACTCAGACTCCCTGGGGGCAGTTTCGGGCAACTCCTGGACGCCTTCCGGCAGGCTGGCAGTTCATTTCTGAGTTCCCCCTGCATCACGTCATCTTTAACCCCCCTCCCTTCCCCCCCCCACCACCACCACCACACCACCACCACCCTTACTCCCCCCTCCCATCCCTTGGCAGCAGCTTCACTCCTTCGTGGTTCCCCTTTCCCCCCTCCCCTTCCCCCCTCCCCTTCCCCCCCTCTAACCCAGATCACCGCCACCGGCGAGTACAGTCCCCTCTGCACCTTTTTGGAGACGTTGCTGACCATGATCTGGTACCCCACCACCGTGGCGACCCTGTCACGGAAGGCGCGGGATGTGGTAGAGGTGTCCTTCGGACGCACCAGCGACGGCGGCCCCACCAGCAGGCTGGTGGAGAGCAGGCTGGTGGATTTCGGGTTTCGGGGCTGCACGTCCGTGGAGCAGTCCATCATTGGCGGCTGTGCGCACCTCCTCAGCTTCAACTCCTCGGATACCATGTCCGCAGCGTTTTATGCACAGGTGGGTGTGTGCCACTGTGTGTGGGTTGGGTGGGTGGGAGGTGGAGGGGTGGATGTGTGTGTGTGTGCGGCAGGGCGGGGCGGGGGATGGGCGCGTGTATGTATGTATGTATGTATGTATGTATGTATGTATGTATGTGTGTATGTATGTGTGTATGTATGTATGCGTGTCTTAATGATCTTCGAAGCCGCTCGATATGTGGGGGAAATGCCCAATATGGTGGTAACTGGAGATTAACTTTATATACCTTAGCGAGCCCCCGCGACTAAGTGTCACCAGGGACATGTTTCGGACTTTCCAATGAAGCTGTGCATGACGGGCGGGGCTGCTGGAATGCAAGTTGTATCATAGATGTCAAGAGCACGTAGAAATACGCCGAGGAGGCGCCGTAGTGGCGAAGGGCGGCACACACTGTGTTTGTGGTGGGGGTGGGGGTGAAGGAAGAGGCGAGCCCCCGGGAGATGTCCAGGATTTCCCTCGATCCTCCTGATGCGTTACGAGAAAAACCCCTAAGGGATTTCCCCCTACCCCCCCACCCCACCCCGAGTGCGCTACATATCCGGTGAAGTCGATGGGGGGCTGTGAATGCGGGAGGATAGGAAGGAAGCGGGTCGGTTGCAGAAAGGATAGGTGGCTTTTACCGTACTCGGACGGATCCCTACCGGTACGGCACAGGCTCCCCCACGGGAGAAGGGTATGTCATATGTACGACATGTCAGCGTATAACCGCCGTCAGCGCGGCGAAGGGAATGCCGCTGCTGCTGCCGCTATTTTGAAACGCCTGTTCCTTGGTTTGGCCCCCCTGCACAGTTCAAGCTGAATGGTGGGCGACCCGTGGGTCAGTCCATTCCCGCCACGGAGCACAGCGTCATGACGTCATGGCCCACTGAAGCGGCTGCGATGACCAACATGATTGACAACTTTGGCACTGGGATATACGCTTGCGTCATGGACAGCTACGACTATTGCAAGGTGTGTGTGTGGGGGGGGGGGGGCCCGGGGCAGGTTCCCGAATTTCCGCGAGATGATTTCCCCTTCCCCCCCCGCCGCCGCCGCCGCCCGGGTATAGCGGGAGTAATGGGTGAGGGGAACAGGGCGCACGGGTCAGGGTTATGTAAATGGGGCTGTGTGACGGTGGGTGGGAAGCTCTGGGTGGGTGATTGTCGATTGTGGATTGCCGGCCCGGGGGAGGGGCAGTAGGTGGGTCGGGGGCGGGTAAAGGGCGGGTAAAGGGCGGTGGATGTAGTTGAGGGGGAGGAATGGTTGGACGGGTAATAGCAGGGCTACATGTAAAGAGTTGGGTTCTGTTAGTGCGGGGGGAGGTGAGGGGGTTGCGGTAAGGCGGCGGCGAAGAAGCAGCATCCCACCGGTGTTAAAAAAAGAGGTGGTTAACCTTCGTCGCCACCACCACCTTCACACCCTAAACCTTTCCCCCCCTCTCCCCCACACCGCCTTTTCCCCTCCCTCCCCTCCCTCCCCTCCCCTTCCCTCCCTTCCCTTCCCCTCCCCTCCCCTCCCTTCCCAGGCTCTGTCCGAGGTCCTTCCTTCCGTGGCCGCACACAAGGTGTCGCGAGGGGGGTACCTGGTGCTGAGACCTGACAGCGGCGACCCCACGGAGGCCGTGCTGATGGTGTGTGTGGGGGTGTATGGGAGTGTATGGGGGGTTAGGGTGGTCCCAGAGGGTGTGGGGGTGTGGGGGCCCCGGAGAGTGGGAGTGGGTGTCAGGTTAAAAAATGTGGGAGGAGGTGGAGGTGGGGAGGAAAGGGAGGGGAGGAGGTGGATACCGGCGGTGTCTAAGAGGGTGTCAGGAGGGGACGAGTAGCGGCAGGGGGAGGGGGACTAAGAGAGGCAAACCTGGCCACACACACACGCACACACACGCACACACACTCCGCCTCTTTACCCCCCCCCCCCCTCGCAGGCCCTAAACGCCGCTGACAAGGTGTTCGGCAGTGTCCGCAACAGCAAGGGCTTCCGGGTCATCCAGGGCTGTGGGGTAATTCAGGGGGACGGTATCGACCTGACGACTATGGAGAAGATATCGGTGGTAAGGGGGGAGGGAGGTGAGGGAGGGAGGGGGGGCGATGCAGGCTGTGTGTAAGCAACAAGGAGGTGAAGGAGGCGGTCTCCGGGATCTTCAAGGTTTTGGGAAGTGTTGGGCTGGGGGAGG